AGTGGGCTTCCCCTCACTCTTGGGGCGCTGGGGGGTGAGCCTGGTGCCCATCCTCCACTCTTTGCTCACAGTCCAAAAACCAGGGACTGGAGTGGCTCCAAAGCTCAGGGAGACACTGAGGTTTGCCCTCTGCCTATAAAGGATATCCCAAGGACACAGATGACCAGCCCAAGAGAAGAGACCCTTAGGGCAAGTTGTATAGGCAGGGCGAGGAGCTCCAGGGCCCTCAGGTGGCCACACTCCAGCCTCCTGCGGGCAGCAGCCAGGGAGGCTCCACAGCCTGCTCTGGGGTTTTAGGAAGACCCAGAGGCAGGACAGCAGAGGTGCCCACAACTTCCCCTCCTGCTGCACCCCTTCCCAGGGAAGCAGGCAGGGTGACTTCACCAGGCACCAGCTCCCACCCCAAGGTGGCCTCATCAGGACAAGAGGCTCTAGCACCCCAGAAACCACCAAGTCAAAGGCCACATACAGGAAGAAGAGTCCAAGATTTCAGGTGGTTTGTGCCAGGAGTGGAGCAGAGCCTTGTGTGCACTTATCACGATATCACAAGTGCCACCCGGTTCTGGGGAGAGCCCCCACCCAGTGGCCAGTGTGCACCACGTGGGCAGATGAGATGAGGCCGAGGGCAGGGGTGGGGGCCATAGGGTCCCATACAGATGATCTGCAGTAGCACAGGCAGAAAGGGCTGGGTCCGCACACCTGCTCTGCTCTTGCCCTACGCGGCGAGTCCCCGGGAGGGAACCTGGCTCTGCCAGCACAGGGCAGTGAGCTGGGGTACACAGCATGCCCCAAAGACACCACCACACCTCTGCAGAGCAGACTCTTCCTGAAACACTTCCCTTTCCTTCCCTCCTTCCCCAGCAGGCTCGCACCTCCAGCCCCATGAGAACCATGGTCGCCTGCCTGCCGGCCAGTCCCAAGTCAAATCCCCAGGGCTCCTTCTATGGCTCTTGTCCACTCTGTCCAACAGCGAGCGCCTCACCATTGCTTTCAGGTTTGCTGCCAGGGGCTTCACGGCAGAGCTGCAGCACACAGGTTGGAGACTCCCGCTGGAAATGGAAAGGCTGTGCCAGGCAGCACCACACGAGGGCTCCTCATCTGACACTGCCTCATAGGAATCGAGAATCCTCACAGAATCTCTATGTCAAGGCTGGACCAGGGCCGACGTGGACAAACCACTCAGAGAACTCGTCTGGGTCTCATGTTTGAGATGCTTTTATAATAAAATTATACCAAAAACACAGCGACACACAGTGAATAGCTTAGTGGACAAACTTAGAAC